TAATAATAATCTTTATTCTTTTAAGAATACCTTTTATATTTATATTAATCTTAGCTTATATTAATATTATTATTATAATAAGTTAAAATAAAATTATAAACTATAAGTAATATCTTAATTTAAAGTTATTTAATTTTAATTAAATTATTAATTAATATAGTTAATAAGTAAGTAGGTTATCTAAGTAAGTAAGTCACTTTCCTTAACTTTTTTAACCTATAGCTTAAAAAGCTTAAGCTATAGTTTAAAAAAGCTGGCTTTTACTTATTAAATTCCTCCCTAGATAACTCAAGAACTACCTAATAAGTCCTTATATTATACCTACCCTTATTATATATATTATAATACTAATTACCTAATTACTTTAACCTTCCTTAATTACTATTTCTTAATAATTCGGCTACTACTTATATATTAATATCTATCTAATTAATTACTTATAATACTTCTTATATAATTATAATCCCTTCTTTCTATAATCTAATCCTTTTTACCTTATAATATTAACTTAGTATTTTATTTATATCTTAAAGATTATAAAGCTTAGCCCTTAATAAGATAATTTTATATATAATTACCTTTATTACCTTAGTAGTTAACTTTAAAGCTTTAATAATAGACTTTAGGGAGCTATTATAATACCTTTTAATTTACCTTTTAAGGTATTTAAATTAAAATTAGGCCTTAATTACTATCTTCAAGGTCTTTAAAGCCTATAGTATTAATAATTAAGTAGCCTCCCTAGGAGGTATTAAGGTCTATAACTATATATTAAGTTTTAAGATTATAATTTCTAAGTTAAAAGAAATAAGCCTAGCTCCTTTAAAACCCCCCTAGATATTACTTTCTATAAAGGTAGCTTTAAATATAATATAAAAGGTAAAAAAGAACTTAATCTTAGAAATATAAGTTATAAAGTATCTAATTAGATATTTTATTTCTTAATTATAAGTATATTTTAATAGCCTAAAATACCTAATATTAAGAGGCTAAAGTAAATAAGATATATAAGTATATATATAAAGTATAATAATCTTATTTTCTTTATAATACCTCTTAAAATTAGCTAAGTAATAGCTTTTATAATTATTAAGGATTAAGAGATAATAAGGATTAATTAATTAGTTAATTATAAACTAATTAAAATACTTTAACTACTTAAGACCTAGCTTATTATTTATTTACCTATTTTAGCTTATTATAATAATCTAATTACCTAAGAGGTTATATTCTTAATATTAATTAATAAGGTAGTATTAGCCTATATTAATAATAAATAATATAATTAATTAACCGTTTATATTAATTACCTAGATTATAGTAATTTATTCTTAGTTTTTAGGCTATATTAATTTTAGCTTTTCTTATATTTCTAAACCTATAATAATTATTCTAGTTATAATAAGGCCTATTATAAAGCTAATCTTATTAAAATTCTAGATATTATCTAATTAAATATTATACTTTATAATTATATTCTATATAAGCTAAAACTAGCTATAAATAATAGTTAAATCTTTATATTTAGCTCTCTAATAGTTATATCTCTAAAATAAATATATCTTTAGCTTTAGTTATTATTTTATAAAGTTATAAGCCTAATACTTACTAATAGGTAATATATTATAATTAGTAAGCAGAGAATTATCTATTTCTTTTATAAAATGCAGTTATAAGGGAAATCCTTATAAATCTAGGTTAAGGATAAATTAGATTATTATCTACTTCTCTAGATTAAATAATCTTTATAATTTTAAGATAAAATTATATTATAACTAAATACTATAATAGCAGTAATATAAGGTCTTAAAGGGCATCTAATAGTTAGTTATAGCCTATTATAGACTTAGTTTTAGGTTATTTTAAAGGGCCTAAAGGGTAAGAAGTATTCTAGCTTTATTTAAAGATTATAATATATTAAGTTATTAATAATTATCTAATTAAATAGAAATATTATAAGGTAAGGGATTTT